CCGTGTGATATCGGTCAGTGAGTAACCCCGAGCCTGCGTCGGTGGGGTAGCAGAGAAGGGCAGTGTCCTTTTACTGAGATACGCTTCCAGCTCTTAAGGTGTGCTGGAATTTGCTTCTGAGAAGTTATGTGTCACATTCCTCTAATTCACACTGAAGTAAAAAGATCCACCACGTCCTTTATTAACAGAACTCATCTTTGAGGAATATGATAAAGGATATTGCTGGAGTATTCACAGCTCAACAGAGGAAAACATGACATGGTTAACAGGTTAACCCTGTGGTTTATAATGCTAAGAAAAATTATGTAGACTGTGGCTGTTAAGAAGGTGCATGAAGTGAGACTGTAATCTAAATAGAGAGCTAGACAGAAATTTTATTTAAAAAGTTTCATGAAGTATCAGAGCCATGAAGAAAATTGATTCAACCCTGCTATAGTTTCCTGCATTTGAAATGTTACTTGGATACACTAAATAGTGATGTAAGAAAGTTTTCCCAAACTGTCCAGTGATCTATGCACACATAGTATATTATTTTTAATAGAATGCCACATGGCTGCATTTAAGTGCCTTTAGGATGTGGTGAGTGCTCTCTATGCATGGATTAAAAGATTGCTTCAGATTTTAAATATAGTGTTGAAGAAATCTGTTTGGATACAGATTAAGTTTAACCAATCCACTAGGTTCTTGGATAAAAATAGGATACTATTACTGTTACTTAAACTGATACAGGCTTTGAAGACCTTGAGTAATAGAACTGAATTAAAAGGAGAAACATAGATTGTAGAAGAGAACATGCTTCCTTTTTCTTGTCAGTATTGATAATATTAGTTAGATTTGGAATGTGGTGATCGGTAATGCAGTGTGACTTGTTGAATTTAAAAGGTTGCATTCTCTGCATAACCAAGTACTTGTTTTATGGCACAGTATTTGTCCACTGCAGTTATCACTGTTAAATTTACTTTGTCTTTGAAACTGCTACCGTGGTAATTCAGACCAACTCTGTCGTGATTCAAGGCATATCAGTCAGCTTTTCCTGATATCCCCATTGGCTACTCGGGGCATGAAACTGGCATAGCCATTTCAGTGGCAGCTGTTGCTATGGGTGCTAAAGTGCTGGAACGCCACGTGACTCTCGACAAAACATGGAAAGGAAGTGACCACCAAGCATCTCTGGAGCCAAATGAACTGGCAGAGTTAGTGAAAGCCATCCGTACTGTGGAAAAAGCAATGGGTTCTCCAATCAAACAGCTCCTGCCCTGTGAAATGGCTTGCAATGAAAAGGTAACTAATTTACACCTATAGCTAATAACTCTATAGTCAGAAGAATAGGTTGCAAATTGTTTGTTGCACTAGTGTTTCTGTCTCTGCACTTAGAGAATTTCACACTGCATAATGTTGTGAGTTTTGATTATAATAGAGTTCTGTGTTTATAATCCAGTGGTTAACTAAGTTGAGTAACAGCATGGAATCATTTAGGTTGGAAAAGACCCATGAGGTCATTCAGTCCAACTTAACACTGCCAAGTCCAACCATGTATTTTCCTAAGTGCCATGTCTATATGTTTTAAATAACTTCAGGAATCATTTCTCAACTGCTTCCATGTTCTAGACTGTTTTGAGTGCTTGATCACCCTTTTAGAAAAGAAATTTCTCCTAGTATCCAGTCTAACCCTCCCCTGGCACAGCTTGAGGCCATTTACTCTGGTTCTGTCAGTTGGTGCCTGACTACAAGCGCAACCCGCACTGGACTAGAGCCTCCTTTCATGGAGTTGTAGAGAGTGATAAGGTCCCCTCTGAGCCTTGTTTTCTCCAGGCTAAACAACCCCAGCTCCCTCAGCCACTCCTCATAGGACTTGTGCTTCAGACCTTTCACCAGCTTTGTGGCCCTCCTCTGGATTCACTCCAGCACTTCAGTGTCCTTGTAGTCAGGGGCCCAGAGCTGGACACAAGGCCTGAGGTGTGGCCTCACCAGTGCCAGGTACTTGGCAATAGTAAAAGGAATAATATGGCTATGATTCTATATGAGCTGCTTTTACACTAAGCTAAAATACCAGTCATTCTAATCAGATTCCTTCCATTGTGATTTTGAAAAATTCCAGTGAGCCATTGTCCAGTTTCAGTAAGTATCTGCATGTGCCTGGCAGCCTAGTTACATTGAAAGTAACCATGCTAAATTAATCTTCATTTGGAATAAGTAATGGAGAAGGCAGTTCTACACAACCTGTTCTCAAATAATTGCAGAATATTTTTTATCCTTTTTTGTTATACTAAGCTAGTAATATATTTAACTTCAATATTGTTTTTTTTCCCCCTCCCTACAGCTGGGAAAGTCGGTAGTGGCAAAAGTGGCAATTCCTGAAGGTGAAGTATTGACACTTGACATGCTGACGGTGAAGGTGGGAGAGCCGAAGGGATTTCCCCCAGAATGCATCTTTGATCTGGTGGGCCAGAAGGTCAAAAAAAATATTGAAGAAGATGAAACCATCACTGAGCAAGTAGTGGAAAATCATGTAAAAAAAGTGAAGTGCTAAACCAAAGCATTCCATTCCGTATTTCTCAATGTACTACCACGCAACATGTTTGAGAATAGCAGCATGGTAGATTAGAAGAAAGGGGTGTAATTATGAGGGTGCAAACAGGTTAGAATTTTCAGGTTCTCATTAGAAGGAAGTTTCAGAAGCAAGGGGATATAAATTATGAAGATTTTATTAGAAACTGTATAGTGTTGTGCCTAGGAATTGCCACGGTCCTCTCTTCTCCATTTCACTTAACCTAGATTAATTTGGAGTTCTGCCAAATAAAAGACCACAGTCTGCTGCTTTCCAGCTTCCCTTTTCTGTTAAGAATACAGTAAATCATGAGAAGTTTATCTACACTTTGAATTGTTCTAGCCCTGTACCTTTTCATGCTCCTCTCTTTTCTGCCATTTGCTGAGCACCTGTGATAGGAGGACTTTGCTTGGAGTTGAATACAGATAAACAAAAGTTTACATACACTGAACTGAAAACTACAAATGCAACCTGGATAGATTTATTTTTAAGATCAAAGTCTTAAAAGTGTCATGATAAAGCAGTGGGTTGCAGGAATCTGTGTTCTTTGGGAAAATGGGCTTCTTGAGAAAGCTCTCAGGAGACAAGGAAAGGAAGCATAAGGATATTTAGAAAGGTCCCGTTTAAGGGGAAAGAGAGCCTTTTGTGAACTGAAAGGCCATAAAAGGTAAGCCAGAGATTGAGCAGGGACAAAAAGTAGATCTGAGATGAATCAGTAGAAATGGTTTTAATTTATGCTTCAGAAAATGTGAAAAATATCTATTGCAAGTTGAGTGAAGTCTGGACTATTTAGTTGGTTCTGCAGAGCACTGGGTGCCTCTCTTTGGACCTGGAGGACAGCTTCTCGGGCAGGAAGCGAAATGCTGGTGAAGTCTGAGCAGCTTTTTTTTCTGTACTAACCAGCAAATCCCCTACATTGGGGTTTTTCTCCCACCACTGGTGTGTGAGATGGCTGAGGCTGACTTCCTGACTACATCACACCGTTACACTTCAGCATAATGGTCAGTACCCGCTTTGTGTGCTCTGCTCTTGCATCCCAGCTTCTCCCTTTCCAAGGGAGAAATGCAATGCCACTCCTATCACCTGCTGCTTTTCCCTTTGACTAGAAGGGAGCCATATAGCAGCAGCTGCAACCCACTAATTTTTCAACTACCTATGCTTAGCACAGAACTGCTTTGCAATAATTCATCTGCTTCTTTTCTGTGGTTGAATCATTTACTTATGATGGTTACTTGGAACTTACTACCTTTTTGTCATGAGTTGGTGAAGTATCTTGAATTTGATGGTGAGTGGTTTTGTACCTATTTGTTTACTTTGAAAATTTTCCCTTGTGCATTTCTGAGAAAACTGTATTCACATCTTTAAATGGGGAAGCAGAGGTTGAGTCATATCCTTCTCTATATGTGAGCTGTGACTGGTGCAGCATGCTTGCCTTACATTAAAAAACTACTCAATTGTTAAAAGATTTGTTTTTTCATTTCAAATTTGAAAAATAAATTTAGCTTATAAAACAAGCTCTTGTTTCTGCATTTCAGCCTATGGTCAGACCTTGCCTTCGCCAGCACTGGTGATGAAGGGCCTTTAAGTATTCGAACAATGTAAAATTACCTGACCAGTGTCAAGTCACAGTGGTTTTTTACTATGGGCTGGTCCTGGAGACTGCTGTAAACAAAAACTCCAGAAATTTCCAGGACTTTAATTAATGTATTGGGGGGGATGTGGGAAGAAAAATATCAATATACAGAAACTTCCAAGCTGTGTTCCCTAGTTCTGTATGAATGTTGCAGATTGGACACAAAGATAAATGGGCAACAGATGCACCTCTGACCTGGTGTTTTTATTGCACCTGTGAGCCCTCCAGACATTTCATCCTCTGTTAGCGGTTGTACACAGCTTTTTCTCATGCTGCCACTCAATGGAAAGAATAGGGCCACCCCAGAAGTCCAATTCAGAGTTTCTGTCTAATGCAAGACCAGCTAGTCACTATTAAATGTGGCCACAGAAGCTCCAGCATCAGAAAAGACCTTTCCAAGAGTCAGTGCCAGACTTTGATTTTTCCGAGATGACACTTAAATACGAGCTAATTCACTTAGTGCATTTATTATCCAAATCTGACCTTGTCAATGATAACAATATGCAGTATATAATCTTGAAGCTTGAACCAAACTAAACCTGTTGCCATACACAATTGCAGCCTCTCCAGGCTCATGAGAGGAGGGAGTTCATTAAAAATTTTCAAAAAGTCGATATCCATGTTCCATTCTGAGTTACAGTATGTTTCTTTCAACCTGACTTCTTCCATTTTGCAAGTTGAAAAATACTACATACAGCACTTCATGTGGTACAGCAACACCATTTATAAGTCAAATCATCTTCCCCCATTGAAAAACACATATACATTTAAAAACTACAATTGTTTCCTTGAACTTATTGTTTAAAAAATACAATAGTTTCCTTGCATTTGCTGTTAACAAGTTGAAAAAGTACAACAATATTACATAATGCACTTTGAGTGGTATGTCAGCATCATTTCTAAAAGTCAGGTCACCTCCCCTCTGAAAAAAAATACATATTAAAAATCACAGTTAGTTTTCCTAAACTTATGTTGCCTTTTAAAAGCATCATAATTACAACTTTGATGCAACAGAGATTAATTAATTCAGATAATTGCTGAAGTGGCATTAGTAGAAAAAGCATGAAATAGTGGGCTTTATTTCACTTTGTTTCTTATGTTAGTTTGCATGTTCTAATGGACCCTTCCCAGAGCCTCAGGGCTGGATAAACTGGTTCTGTGAACTTGCAGCAGAAGGTGTGCAAATGAGCCATGCCATCGCTAACATTGTAGAATGAAAGGATTCCTGCTTCATAATCTAGGAAAATGCCAATGCAATCAGGATCATCTTCTATCACGATGGGGATTCTCTCTCCCTTGTGAAATGCCCAGTATTCAAAATCAAACTTCTTAAGGCACCAGGATGCTCTATTCCAGCCCAGGCGACAGGCTTCTGAGTCTCCTTTCCTGGCAATGGTGGGGTAGGCTGCGCCAATCCACCATCCTGCTCCAGCCCGAAGCAGGTCAACCTCCCAGTAATGGCTCCCAGACAGGAATGCGTCTCTGCTTAGCACTTGCCATAATTTATCAAATCTCTGGGGACTACAGGGGTAAAATATTCTCCTCCAGCTACAGCTTACTTCAAGACGGTCATCTGACAATTTCAGTCTCGGGTGAATGCTGTCGTATTCCCAGGTTGGTGATCTTGCATCTGCAGTCAAAAGCCATAAACATACTTGCTGCATTTCTCATGACCCTTGGAAGAAGTTATAAACCACCTGCAGAGGAGCCCACAATTGGAATTGTCTTGGGACAGTCAGAAAGCCTGCAGTCCCAGGAACACAGGCTGGAAAAGGCACGCCAAGGGGATCACAGCAGGGCACTAACATTGCTGCCTCCGCACCTCTGTGATCTGGGCCAACCATGGCAATGGGGACTCAGCCACAGCACCAAGGTTGCTTTACATTTAGGGCTAGGGCTCAGCCAGAAAGGTCTGGAGAAGGCATTCCAGTGTGAGCAAGGCAGGGCCCCAACACTACTGATTCTGTGTTAGGGATGGGATTCAGGCACAGAGGACACAGCTCCGGGGACACTGGAGCTGGAAAATATGCCAAGTGCATAAAGCAGTGAACCAACATTGCTGTCCCCACACCTTTCTAACCTAGGGCATCAACCACAGCACTAAGCTGCCATGTGGGCTAAGATCAGGATTCAGAGAGCCACAGAGCCTCTGGCTCCAGAGACCCAGGGACTGCAAAAGGCATGCCAAGGGAATCACAGCAGGGCACCAACACTGATGCCTGCACACCTTTCTAATTTGGGGCACTCATGGGGATGGGATAAGGTGAAGCCATACACAGAGTTACAGTCCTGTGGTCTCTTCAGCCTGGAGGAGACTGAGGGGAAACCTCATTGCAGTTCACAACTTCCTTGTGAGGGGGAGAGAAGGGACAGGCACTGATCTCTGTGGTGACAATGACAGGACCCAAGGGAAAGGCCCGAAAGTTCTGTCAAGCAAGATTTAGGTTAGACATTAGGAAAAGGCTCCCCAGAGGGTGTTTGGGCACTAGAACAGACTCCCCAGGGAAGTGATCACAGCACCAACCCTGACAGAGTTCAAGAAGTGCTTGGACAACGCTCTCTAGACACATGGTCCTATGCAGGCCCAAGAGTTGTACCCTAGTGATTTTTGTGGGTCCATTCCAGCTCGGTGATTCTAGAACTCCAGCAAAATCATACTTACGTTTTAAGAAAAGCAACCGATCAATAGGAGTCATGGTTTTCAGCACTGTCCCAGGCTCCTTCTTTGCAGTGGGATTAAGACTACTGAAAACATCTGGGCAAAGATGAGAAGGGACAGCTTAGGGAGTCTGCCAGTTTTTCAATAATTTTCCAACTTCATGGACACACTATGTTACTTTTTCTGAGGAGGAGCTACTCACTCTGTATGCTTTCAGTGTTATGCTCTTTGTAGAGCATGGAGATGCTGCTCTGGTGTTGCCACAGAAATACACAATTGAGCACAACACCAAGTAATCAGACCGGATTCCTTTAAAAGTAGCATTTATCAGATGAAAATAGCCAGGCAGCTGAAGATGCTGCAAGTGCTTGCTGCAGAGCACCTCCACCACCACTGCTTTTTAGCAGTCCTACACACATCCTGCAGCGGTCTCTCAGATCAGATGTGACCATTTGCCCCAACAACCTGCTAGTGTCTTTTTGGTGGCAGTTCTCTGATAAGGGATTAAAAGGCAGCTGGGTGAAATGCGATGGCCAGTGTTGCCTGCTCACTCAAAGAGCAGCAGGATTTTCCCATGGTTAGTTTTGTGGCTTTGTGCCCCATTAGGGAAAATCTCCTTGCCCTAATCACGCCAAAAGTCATTTAAGGATGAAATAACAGCTCAAAGACAAAAGGATTTCTAAATAGAACACGTCAGCTCAGCTTTACAGTACTAAAAATCATCAATTTTTTGAGTATAATTTTTTTGACTGAGGCAGCTTACCATGTACATCAATTAGAAAAAAGTTTAGAGGTAGCCCAGTGCCAGAGCACTTGCACTCAATTGTAAGTGTAATTGTAAGTAACTGAGACAATAGATGAATTCTATTGGTGTGATGGTTTACATTAAATTGTATTGAAATACCTGATAGAACTTGGGCGGGGGAAAGCCAGCAGACAAACCAAAGATCATTTTCAGAGTTGGAAGAGAAATCTCTTACGTTCCTAAATCACCACTGCTATAACAGCATTACACCCATGCTGTCAGAAAGCAATAAACATGCCTGAAACACTGTTGTTTCTCCAGATGATTTGGTAAAAAGTCCTGTTCTTACTTAAAAAGTACACTTTATTTGCAAAGAGAGCAGAAGAAAGCAAAATTCAGAGCATTCTCCCAGGTACCTTCTTTAAGCCGTGCTTCCAATGGTTTCTGTAGAATGGACTGAAGAACTCTGATGAAGTGTTTATAATGGTTAAGTAAGTGTTCAAATGAGAGAGGTACTGGATGCCACTTTTCTAATGGGTGCCTGGATTCCTTAATTTCCTTCTCAATTTCCGTGTACTTCTGAGTGCAGAAAGCCAAACACTACAATTAGCAGAGACTGTGACATGAATGGACTCTTCCATCCCAGCTCCCATACACCACAGAGCAAGGACAGCTCCAAATTTTGCTGAGATCAGCCTGCCTTTTAGCTCATTAGCCTGCCCATTACCTCCTCCTGCCAGTGGAGCCACACCAGACATGGTTAACCCAACAGCCATGGTTAAAGAGATCCCTCCAGGATGGAAATGAGTTTAGCCTGGCCAGGACCCGTTGTGGGAAATTCCATTAATGGCAAAATCAAACTATTAGGTTTTAAAAGCAATCTGAAGAATAAAATCCAACTTCCCACAAGAAAATCTCCACAAAATCACCAAGAGCAGCTCATGTATGGAGGTATGTTGCTAACACACACAGCAAAATGCCAGGGTCTTATCACAGCTATGGAAACTCAAGTCTGACACATTGCTAGGATGCAAAAATGCTCCAGAGGAATCATCCTATAAGAAATTGCATCTTTTGTCTTGTGTCAGGTCATAAGCACATGGCAACATAATCTTTCCAAAGAAGGTGAAGATCATTATCTATAGGCAAAAAGAACAATATTGCCCCCTCCGGTGAAGTGGAGGCTTAAGGTGATTAGGATTTCTTGCAATTAAGGAAATGACATATTTTAACTTCCTCCTGAGGTTTCCCAAGGGCTGGCTTTTCTCATATCTTCATATTACACGGACAAGAAAATACTTGATACAGCATTTGTCTTCAGGATTAAGAGACATGTATCTGTCTTTTCCATCTATGCTTAAAATTAACATGAATTTCATACATACCTGAAATCAATGCCATAGCAAGAAGACCAAATAGCTCAAAAATCAAATTTGTTCACCAAGACACCAACACAAAGCAAATTAAAAAGCACTTAGGAAGATGCTGCTTACATACAGAAGGATCTATAGAAGACATCACTAGAGAAATTCAGGACTGTCAGGGTAAGAGGTAGAAAGAGACCATACAATACCACCTCCAGCAAACGAATAGGATCACTGTCCTGTCGTATGTGTCTGATTCGATGTGTGAAGGTCTCTACGGCTGCAAGCTGTTCTTGACAGAACCTCAAATGCTGATCATGTGTTCCCAGGGCTTGCTGAGTCTTTTCATCAATGAAGTTTTTTGCCAGACTCTCTTCTTCCCGAAGAAGTAACTGAAGCTCAGCCATTTTTTCTGACAGCTGCCGTTTCATCATATCAGCATGTGCCTATGGATAAAGCAGAAGAATGTCTCCCCCCTGCTCAACCATAAACATTTTAGACATTTCTCTTTCAGGCTTTCAGTGCTGTGTTTTGGTTGAATTTTACTGATTTTCTCCATCTCTTCAGAAACATGTCTCTACTCCTTAAAGGGAGCACAGACATGATCTACCTGCTGATGTCTAGATGGAAAAGAGTGAAGGAAGATTCCAAGATGCCTATTTATGTCAAAAAATCTGTTTTCAGCTAGAATTAACAGGGTACCAATTGCAACAATAAACAGAACTTGCCCTTCAGTAGCAAGACTTTGACTGCTTTTAAAGCAAGCTAGAGACAAGTAGCTGGTAGGAAGAGAAAGCCTCCAAAACAAAGTGGCATCAGACCAAGTCTCTAAAGCCCCCTCAAGCTCATACTGGCATTTCTGTAACAGAACTGCCTAGTGATGCTCCTTAGAGCAGAAGTCATTTCATGTTCTATAAATGAGGTGCAGCTTAGCATGCATTCCCATTCTTAAGATAGAATCAACAGAACTGTTCTTGTGTTTACTCAACTCTGAATGCAGAAAATTCAATCATGCAGTTCAGAGCAACACAAGATACATAAGCGTAGCCAGAATAACATAGCCAGCTGGGGCTACCTGCTATTCCTCTGCATAAAAATTTCACTCTTGGTCTTCCAGAAATGTTCAGCTGATCAAGGAATGAGGACCAGATCTTTGGAGACTCTCCCTCTTCCCTCTCTTTGGTAGTGTAATATATTGTGATGAACACAAGGAATACACTCTTCTCCTCAGAAGCAGCCACCCAATAGATGGCTGGGCCTTTGAATAGCTACAGAGAAGAGAAAATGTCTCCCCTTGGAAAACGACCATCCGTGGAGAACAAACCACACTTTACCTTCACATCCTTTACAGCCTGCTCAATGCTCCTTCTGTTGCCATCTTCTTCCTCTTTTCTCTCTTCTAGATTCTTCAAGCACACTGACATAAGTTCCTATAAACAATGAAACAAAATAAAACAGTTTCATAACATTTGTAAAAACCAGAAACAACTCTCCAGCTTGATTTCCATATGGGGGGGGCACTGCAATACTGCATTTCAGAATCATAATATTCAATATAATCAGAATTGGAAGGTGAAACTCTTAAACTAAAGGCCTTTTATGAGGCTTATTAAGGCCAGTATAGTGATGAACCATAAGGATTTCAGCATTTCACCTGGTGGTTATACTGGTAAGGTTTGAACTGCTGGGCAAATTAGCACCACCTTCTTAAAGCACAGGGAAACCTAAAGTGAAAAAACATATTCTATGGTGCTGCGTATTACGTGCTAATGCATTTAGCAGCTGAAGTACATTTATTGAGAGGGTAAGTGGAAGGTTCCATTTAGCCTCAAAATCCAATTAACATTCAGGATGCTTCCCAGTGTACAAATGACCAATCAGATACCCCATTATCACCACAGTGATGCTGTAGACTGAATGTCTGCAACAGCAAACAGTGTCAGCATGGCTGGTAATCAGTCACAGTGTCTGTGACACTTGGTGTGCCCAGCACAGCATAATTAATCAATGTTCTGCTTATGTTTTGTGCCAGTTTCTCTCCTGCGGCCCTCTGAAATTGGCTGCCCTCTGCCCAGCAGGTTGAAAATCTTGGTGTGCCTCCTAAAGCATTTTTGTCATTAGTAATGTGAAGGATACAGTCAATGCTGCCCCACACTCTCAGTGCTCTGGTGCCAAACCAAGGCCTCGGTAAATACCAGGTAAGCTAGGGCCAGCTGTAGCTGCTATCAGTGTCCTCTTCTGCAGCTGAGACACAGCCAAGGACACCTGCATGCAATGTACCACTTCACTGCAGCAGCCCCAGGGCAGCACAGCATTTAAACTCTGCAGCGTGGACAAACAGAGCATGAAGTGTCGCCTCATGAGCAATGGTTTGCATTTCTGATGTGTCTCCTAAGAAAACACATGCAGCTAGTCATTTGAGTATGACAGAGTCAGGAGAAAATGGGCTCCCAGCAAAAGCCAGAGACTCTGCATCTGGAAGGCCCTACATCTATGCAAGCAGGTAAATGTTCTTCAATAGAGCAGGGTGCCCATGCTATTTATTCCAGCCACAGTGTTATAGTCTCATCCCTGAAGAACCAGAAGAGTTCTACACCACTAGAGGATTCAGGAATTCTATCAGGTACCGGCCTAACTTAGTTTATTTTGCAGCCTATACCTCATTCTTTTCCTCAAAGACTGACAAAGACCACAGAGAAAAACCCAGTCTTCCTTCTTTGCTAGGAACACACATCACTTTGTGCACTCACAACAGTGACCATATGCAAATACTTACATTAATTCCAAGTATTTCTGGTTAAGCATTACATTCTTTACAGAGGTACATGAAAGAGCTCCTTCCTACCAATTGAAGACTGTGCCAGCACCCCATGTCATTCACCTTGAGGAATCAACTCTGAAAATCTTCCTTTAGGGATTGCCTGGGTTCTTTAACTCATTCAAGTGAAAACACTGTAAAAGCAAGGATTTCTGAGATGACACTCCAGTCAAGCTCACAGGAAACCTATCAAGTGCAAAGAATGCTAATCCTGTGTGCTGCATTCAGGAGCACAGGGACCATCCTTTTCAATGATTTGAAACAATCTCTGCTCCAGGCATGAAGCAGCTGATGGATCTCGCACAATAGTTTTCATGTCTTCTTAGCACTCACAGCTAGGATTTACTGAAAGAGCTGTGGAAGATTCTCAGTGCAACAAGTGCTGCCTGGTTGATGTCATGCCACAAGGGCTGTACTGAATAACTGCTCACAGCACACGAAATCACTAGTAAAAATACCATCTCTTAGGCTAAAAATATTGATTGTTTGTGCCTAAAATCTCTGCAGCATACCAGCAGGCAGGCGCAGTGCTCTGCGTTGCTCAGACATCGTAAGTGGTTTTACCTCTGTGCTGCTGTTTGTGGCAGCACAGTGCACAGTCCTCTGCCCTTGTAATGCTCTCTAACATGAAGTGCAACAGACTGCTCCAAGGGTTTATCATGACCTGTGTACGGACTCACAATCTGTGTGAACTTCCAAGCAGGAAGTTCTGTAGGAACTGTTCTTCTTAGTGTCTTCTGTAGGAAACTTCCTACACTACTAGCACTGTTCCAAAATATCACACAAGGCACGGGAAGGAACTTTCTGAAGTTGTAGAGAAAAAAGAAAGAAAAAACAAAAAAAAACCAACAAAAAAACCCAAACAAA